CATTGTTTTGCTATGCGGCTCTGCGCTACTTTAGCTAACAACTGTGTGGTCATGCAACAAAATAAAACATAATTTATCTTTTTTTCACACAATTAGAGATTTCTTTTGGTGGTATTATTATTATTGTATAAAAGAAAAAAAGACCAATGATTTTGAACAGAAAAACAATATTTTTTAATTTCTGCTATAAACCATATACCATAAAAAAATGAAACCTCTTAATAAATTTAGGTCAAAATGTATTCTGCTGCATTTAAGTGTATATTGATTGGCTTGTGTGGAAATGATAGTGTCTACAAACTATGGCAATTTTTATTTATTTTTTATAGTAGTAATGGCAGCGATCAGTGATTTATAACGGGACTCTGATAAAGTGATTGACAATTTGTCACTAACTGACACTTTGTGGGAACTAACTAACTGACAGAGCTGTGTTCTGTGAGACACAGAGCCGATAGCCGGGTGCCAACGGTGCACAGAGCGGCTGCCCTGTAGCAGTAAACCTGCAAGGCTTGGTCTGCAACTGGTTAAATGAAAATTGTTAGTTCTGTTCACTTATAAGAAAAAATTTGGAGTTTGTCCCTTTGGAGAAGTAAAAATAAAGTAGTGCAGCGCTAAAAATGCCCTATCCACATAACTTCATACAAGAACAATAAATAAACAACATGTGGTGCTGTGAGTCCTCCCAGTAATATAAATCTGTCTTAATATGTGAAAAACACACACAACAAGCAATCTTCATGCAGGTGCTCCCAACTGTAACGTGAATCCACAGTGACAGGGATGCCCCCTCACCTTCCTGCCCAGGCCCCGCAGGACCAATGAGCCAGACAATTGCCTCTTTAGTAATCCTCCCACAGCACCTTGGGGGTCTCCTCAGCAGTAGTGATGGTACTTCCTCCTCCTGGTAGATAATGATTTCCACTAGGTGCCTCCAGATATTAGTGCGCACTCATTCCATAAACACCCCACATAGGACAAAAAAGATCCACATAGTGTAAAACCGCAAAACCTTTATTTAAAGCCACACTATTAGTACTACTCACATTTGTGTGGTTTGATATGCACGTTTCCACCACACCATGGGTGTACTGGCTTGTGTGGATCCTCACGAGAAGGTGGACCAAGATGGCGCCGACGCCGGATATGACGTCACCGCGCGGTCCGTTAGGCTCCTCCCACTGGCGTATCTACGCGTTACGTCACGGTTAATAGCACGTGACTTCTTCAGGATGTCCCTTTGGAAATTTTCATTTGGAAAGTCTGAATTGGATGTTGAAATTGTGTACACACTGTACGAAAACCGAACGCTCAGTTTTTGTACGGAATTTTTCTTCTAATTTTCATAGTGTGTACCTCCCTTTAGTCTCTGGCCACCAGGACAAATACATAAGGTAAATGTACTTAGTTGGGGAAACAGGCATTACAAAATTTTTGTAGAGGTTCTTATCATTCCCAAGTTTGTCCAAAATTTAAAAAAACAAAACAAAAAAAAAAACTGAAAACAAAAAAACATTTTGGCTAAACATACATTTTAACCTGCCTATCCACTGGACAGTTTTGTCTGGTGATGTTTCTATTGATGTGCAGTGGCAGTTTATATAGTCACACATATGATATGTGAATACGCATAGCATTACATTCAGTCTTTAGGTGTCCTGTTATCATGCAGCGGTAAATGACCGCTGCTCAGTTCTCTGGCATTCTCAGAGGAGAGAGTTCTCCTCTGAATGCCTTTTTATGAAGCAGTGTAGATAGCTTCTTCAAAAGAGGAGAGAAGCGATCTACAAACTCTTTGAACACTAGAAAACGGCTGCTGTTACTGTAATCTCGCGAGATTACAGTAAGAGATCAGTGAAACACTGTTTATGAAGCAGCGGTAAATTACCGCTGCTTCATTTGCGGTTCTCCCGGTTCTCCAGCTGTGGGCTGGAGAATCTGGAGGGAGAAGACAGATTGCCAGTGAAGGGCTGACATCGCTCCTTCATACACTCACAGTCTGTGTGCTGAGATGATCAGCAGAGAACATGTTCTCCACTGATCATCTCTGTTTCCTAATCCACTAATGATCTGATATCAGCAACGATCCTCAGGATTGCCGCTGATCCCTGTTTCATAAAAGGACACCTTAATCTGTTTTTACTCTGGAAACAAAAAAAAAAATCGCAGCTCCTACAAGTCATCATTAGTTTTAGTTGTGATTCATTGAGTTTTCTGTTTTTTTTTTTTAATAAAAATAAAACATTCTGAAGTTTTGATCTTACTGCCTTCTTACAGTATGGTTGGCTTTAGTTTATTCTGTTTCTATTCAGTCTTTATTCCCTGTTTTCTGAAAATATATCTGCAACAAGGATTGAAAATGGATACTGTTTTCTTTTCATTTGTCTTTTATAAACCGTATAAAGCCTCAGCAGTGAGAATTTGCAACAAGCTTTCACTTTCGGGCAACTTTTTCAGTGACTTACTTTTTTGATATTGATAGCTTTTATGTGTGTATGCTTTGTAAACAGAAATTTAGTTAGTTATTTTCACAGCCAGGACTAGATCTGTGTCCCTGTGTTTGCAGGATTACTCACTGAGGTTCACTAATATTATCTACATTTGCAAGTTTAATTATTATTAATACAGCTTAATCCTGGTCTGTTAGTTGACCGTAAACACCAGTGAGAAGTTTATAATCCAATTTGCAGTGTTAAGTGCAGACCACATCAAGAAAAAAAGATATGATTGTTCAATAAGACATTGTCAGAAATTTGAGCTATTCTTATGTTTTATTTGTTAGCACTTTATTCTCTAATAGATATCTGACAGAAGCACTTGTTATATATCGTAATAGTAATCTTCCTGTTTCTCTCTTTGTTTTTTTTTGGGAATGTTAAATGAGATTTTCAAGAACATTGGAAATCCCTAAATTCACAAAGAAGAGACATTTCTTCCTAAGCATATATAAAAGCACATTTAGTCATCTTTAAATGGATTGATAACCCCACTAAATGGTGTCTTTTTACATCTACTTGGTAGTCAACTTCAATTACTTTTTAAAGTCTGTGAAAGATTTGTTCTACTCTACTGTCTTTTGGAATCTAGTTTCTTTAAATGTTATAATTGTTAGGTCCACTAGAGCTGAATTCAGAAATTTTGAACACAGAGAGATGGTATAATTTTTACTTACATTTTAGACCAGTGTTTCTCAACCTTTTTTCAGTGAAGGCACCCTTTAAACCTTGCACAATCTCGTGGCATCTCATTCTAAAATGTAAAAACTAAATTATTAGTTTAGTAATATCACAGCAGATCCACACACATTGCACACCCAACACTAGAGGTGATTTATTCTTACAAAGCAAATACCCCTTTGATACTGGCTAGTATTCCAGTGTTGCTCTTCTTCCTCACTCAACTAATATGACCCCATGGCTAATGGAGAGGGGCAGGGAAGGAGCAAACAAGGAAGCTGTGTAGGCACCAGACATCCTCCTTATTAGCAATGATGTCATCGGTTGTTAGGATGGCCTATGGTGCCCAAGGTGCAGGCTTAATCAGCTAGCTATTGTTTTTTTTTATTATTATTTTTTATTGCTTTTAACAATAAGTTTAAATCCACAATTACAGCCTGAACATCTGGCCACACAAACCGAACATTACAAAGCATCAGCACTGTGTTACATGATATTTAGGAGCATGAACAAATATAAGATCTTTATATTTGGGAGACCTGACTGTAACAAACCACTTAAACAATTATTTTTGTTCAGTCTTCTCAGCAATAAATTATACTAACAATAAGTTGGGAAATCATATTGGTTCTAGTAATGATGAATCATTTTTACGATTTCCAGAGACAGAGGTTGCAAAATAACTGGCTCGGTTAAAGATTAATAAACCAATGGGCCCTGATGGTATTCGTCCCAGAGTTCTAAGAGAACTTTGAGGTATAGTTGTTGGACCATTAACTGATCTTTTTAATCAATCTGTTCTAACAGGAGTATTCCCTATGACTGACGGACAGCTAATATTGTACCTATCCACAAGAAGGGCAGCAAGGTAGAAGCTGGCAGTTACAGGCCAGTGAGTTTAACATCAGTTGTCGTCAAGTTAATGGAGTCACTCCTGTAAAGAAGGATCATTGATCACTTTAAAACACACACCTTGCTGGATCCAAAGCAGTATGGCTTTACTGAGGGTAGATCATGTCAGACTAACTTGATTGGATTTTTCCAAATGACTATATTTCCAATGTTTTGGACCAGGGTGGTGCTGTGGACAAAGTTCAATATAATAATCTAATACAAATGTTGTACAAGCAAAGACTTAGCCCTTGGGTGGTTCAGTGGATATGCAGCTGGCTAAAGAGTAGATACCAGAGTGTGGTTGTAAATGGAGTTCACTCGGAAAAGATACAAATCACTAGTGGTGTACCACAAGGCTCTCTACTAGGTCCTGTTCTATTTAATCTATATGTAAGTGATATGACTAAAGATGTGTTGGGTAAGGTATGTATTTTTGCTGCTGACACAAAGGTGTGCAATAGTGTTGATATCCCTGGAGGCGTTTGTAACATGGAACATGATTTGGCATTGCTGGAAGTTTGGTCAAAAAAGTGGAAATTGCAGTTCAATGTTTATAATAATAAAAAAAATTAGGCAGACTCGATGGACCACTCAATCTTTTTCTGCTGTCACTTTTCTATGTTTATGTACTAGCCCCCATGTAGGGGAGAACGTGTAATACTAATCTGTCATTTCCCCACGACCAAAGAAAAATTGAAATGCATGTCTCTCAATCAGATACTGTGTAAACCTACACTATATTGCCAAACGTATTGGGACACCCCTCCAAATCATTGGATTCAGGTGTTCCAATCACCTCCATGGCCACAGACGTATAAAATCAAGCACCTAGTCATGCAGACTGCTTCTACAAACATTTGTGAAAGAATGGGTCGCTCTCAGGAGCTCAGTGAATTCAAGCATGGTTACATGATAGGTTGCCACCTGTGCAATAAGTCCATCCGTGACATTTTCTTGTTACTAAATATTCCACGGTCAACTGTTAGTGGTATTATAACAAAGTGGAAGCAACTGGGAACAACAGCAACTCAGCCACGTAGTGATAGACCACTTAAAATGACAGAGCGGGGTCAGCGCATGCTGAAGCGCACAGTGCTCAGAAGTCGCCACCTGTCTGCAGAGTCAATAGCTAAGGACCTCCAACTTCATGTGGCCTTCAGATTAGCACAACAGTGCATACAGAGCTTTGTGGAATGGGTTTCCATGGCCAAGCAAGTCTTACATCACCAAATGCAATGCAAAGTGTCAGATGCAGTGGTGTAAAGCACACAGCCACTGGACTCTAGAGTAGTGGAGTTGTATTCTCTGAAGTGATGAATCACACTTCTCTGTCTGGCAATCCGATGGACTTGTCTGGGTTTGGCGGTTCCCAGGAGAATAGTACTTGCCTGACTGCATTGTGCCAAGTGTAAAGTTTGGTGGAGGGGGGATTATGGTGTGGGGTTGTTTTTCAGGGGTTGTGCTTGGCCCCTTAGTTCCAGTGAAGGGAACGATTAGGACGTCAGCATAACAAGACATTTTGGACAATTTCATGCTCCCAACTTTGTAGGAACAGTTTGGGAATGGTCCCTTTTCTGTTCCAATATTACTGTGCAGCAGCTCACAAAGCAACGTCGATAAAGACATGAATGAGCGACTTTGGGGTGAAGGAACCTGACTGGCCTGCACAGAGTCCTGGTCTCCACCTGATAGAACACCTTTGGGATGAATTAGAGCAGGGACTGTGAGCCAGGCCGTCTCGTCCATCATCAGTGCCTGACCTCTCAAATGCGCTTCTGGAAGAATGGTCAAACAGTCCCATAGACACACTCCTAAACCTTGTGGACAGCCTTCCCAGAAGAGCTGAAGTTGATATAGCTGCAAAGGGTAGGCCAACTCAATATTGATCCCTAGGGTCAAAAGACTGGGTTGCCATTAAAGTTCATGTGCGTGTAAAGGCAGATGTTCCAATACTTTTGGCAACATAGTGTATTATTCTCCCACCCACCTGTTCTAGAAATTTTATCGAGAGGCAAAGCCTATTCTCATATTGATTAGTGGTTCCAAATTAATAATGACTACTGCAGTAGGGAGCAGACACAAAAAGGTATACTCAGCATCTTTCCAGATAACTGTTCTTTTTATTCGGAGCAATTGAAGTTTTGTTATACACATGATTACGTAGGTATCACATTATTACATTAGTGTTTTTATAGTAACAAGGAACGTTACATAGCCAGGCTAATATCTAATCAGGATTCGAAAGAATGCAAACATGTAACGAAAACATTATTAGTATCGTGTGTGCAGTGTGCAAATACATAGGCAAAGCAGACAAAATAGAATACAACTTTATACAGAATTTACAATTTCCTTTACATGCCCCACACCTTATCAAATTTGAGTGGTACCCCTCTGCTAGCGTATATGGCCTTATAGAATGGTAAAGCTTTATTATTAAGTGCTTTCCAAGCTTGAGTGTAAGGGGCTGTATGCTTTTTTCCAGGAGAAAATAATAAGCTTCCTGGCATGGTATGACAATATTGTGAGTTAGGTACTAAATACCTCTTTGGGAGCCAAGGAAACCACTAGACCCAATAGACATATTTCTATAGATGGGAGAATAAAGATCGTTGTGACCGACTGAAATCATTGTATTACCTTTGACCAGTATTGCTAGATATCTGTACATTTCCAAAATAGCTGCATAAAATCGACCTGAGCTACCTCATTTTTTTTTTACAATTTTTGCGAAGTTTGGGGCAATTTTTAGGCATTTTGTCAAAGCACTTCTGAAAAAACCCCCAGAAGGCACTCTAGGGTGCCAAAGCACCCTGGTTGAAAAAGGCTGTTTTTGACCACCAGAGCACCTTTATGGCCATGCACCTAGTTCATTCCAGGAGGTGAATTAGTTGCTTTTTTTCTTTTAAATCAACAGATAGTGGACACATATTTTCATATCAGTCTTTGCGCTACAAATATCTTTGTATTGTTAGTCTTTAAGTCTTTTCCTCACTGGTCTACACTTCTGCCAAATCCACTGTGTGCAGCCCATAGTGCATCTTCTGCTCGTGTGTGGAAAAAGCCCATTTGTTCCTGTGGTGTGGTTGTTCAGAAGGATAACAGACAGCCTTTATGTAGGAATGAAAGGTACAGTGCATCCAGAAAGTAACACAGTGCTTAACTTGTGCCACATTTTGTTATGTTTGTTTTAAAACTTTTGCAATTTAGTTAAAAGAAAAATTAAACTCAAAAACACATATACAATAAGTAATTCACAGCCTTTGACAGCCCTTGAGATGTTTCCACAACTACAGCCTTATTCCAAAATGGATTACATTAATTTTTCAAACAGCAGCCCGCCTGGAGTTTGCGAAAAGGCACTCTACATTCTACAAACAATACCCCATGATGACAACATGCAAAAAGTTTGTTTTTAAACTTTTGCAATTTATTAAAAAGAAAAAATTAAACAAAAAACACATATACATAAGTATTCACAGCCTTTGTCATGACACTCAATATTGAGCTCTTCATTTGATTTTATTCCTTTGTGATTATTTTACTTTTTATCAATAAATCTCTTTTTTTAAAGGTAATGCACTAGGCCCGTGCGCCCTCTTTTTGTTTCTACATATACAGTTCTTTTTGGATTTCCCTGGTCCGTTGAGAGCAGCAGCAAGCTTGCATTCCTTCTATACTCCATGTGGGGATACAGACATTGTGGAGTCCACTGTCCAGCGCAGGAGTTCATGCATTTGGTTGCTTTTTTTTGTTCCTTCTGAGCTCGGTGCCGTGCCTGTGATTCCCGCATGCACAGGAGTGACTTCATTTGCAGTTCGGCCAATCTGATGGCCATAGCCTGTGAACCCGGAAGGAAGACCAGGTGAAGATGGAAGCCCTGTCAACCGTAACAGCGCACCACTGGAGGACTTCATTTGCGATGCATACTAGCACATTATAACATAGCTTTTTAGAGGGATGTTTTGCAATTTTTTTCCCCAAACTTTACTACCACTTTAACCTGTAGTCAATGCTTAGCCACCCTATATCAGTAGTGAGTGAATGCTGGTGATGTTAAATCACCTGGTCTCTGTTACAAAGTTCCGTTAGAGACAACACCACCCATGGGTATCCCAAGTGTAAAACCATTACAGAATTAAAGGTAGAAGTCTCATACCTGACTCTCTGCAATGGAGTGTGGCAAGAGGTAAATGTGTTAGTGGATGGACACATCGTTAGAGATTTTACCACTGGAGGTCTATAGAGGTAAAAGAAGCAATTGAGTAATTATGACCACGTACATCCACCTGCAATTGAAATGTTAGTTTTCCCTGAAATGACATGTTAAGGTGTAAGTCATTTAAAGGGACTAGTCATCCCAGCAAGTTTTGCTTCAGGGTCTTTCAAATTTTCTGCAATTTTCGATGAATGTTTTTTTCTTCCTGGGTGGAGCCGCATCTGATTCCCTCATCCTTATTTAGACTTTTGACCTTAACAGAATCTGTATTATCTCCTTACACAGACGCATTAAAAAACACGTGAGACGGGGTTTTCTGTCCAATGGCATGAAGGATAGAAAAGCCGACAAAGTCTGTAGTAATCTTCTTCCCCTTCTTATTTCAAGCTGGGCTTTATTAATTAAGGTCTTTAGCTGGTAGGCTTTTATTTATTTCCTTTGGTGCAAGTCACCATGTTGTACAAATACATGAGGCAATTTTGTACACGTGAAAACCGTGAAATTCTAGGCAAAGATCATTAGCTTGGGATCTCATGTTTTATGTTCTATACGTATGTTCTACCTTACCTTACCCATACATGGCTAGATCTCTCACATTCAGGGATATGTGCTGAATGAGAGAAATCTGTTGTTTACCCTGTCCATGCTAAACATCATGGATGGAGGATCTCCCTCTACCTGCCATTGCATTTAGACAGCTGGCACTCTTGGCTGTCTGAATACCTGAACAGTGATTGCATCTAACTGGATGCAGCCACTGTTCAGCCGACAATTTTCTATCTAGCTCTTTCAATTATGTAATTAAAATTTGACGAGCCAGTTGGTTGCTGACTGGTCCACCCAGGGTTCTCATTTTGGACTATTACACAGGAATTTTCTAAAGTGTAAGCCGTAAATAGCCATAATTACTATTAGAACTAGAAATACCCCCTTCCTTAACCCCAGAAACAATGGTAATATAGAAATGGTTCTCAATCATCTATGGAATGACTATAGGAAAAAAAGTTTCTAATGCTGGCCTTCGTGGCCATGTTCTGAAGGCTGCTGCACAGGTGATTAAGTTGATATCAAGATTAATTCAAATACTTATTTAAAGCCAAACTCTAGAATCCGCAAATAATGTCTAAACAAAAGGCATGTGTATTCTTACTTAAGTTCTGGCATGCGTTGGGTATTTCTTCCAGATCTGTGCAGAGATCATGTGTGAAACTTTGCCTCTGTGAGTGAGCTTCCTGTAAAGAAGACCAGTAACTGCTGCTCTGTCTTCTCCTCCAAGGTGACTGGTTTTGTATAAGCCCCTGTGTAGTTTTCTGCAACCCTAAGCCTGTAAAAGGTGTGCCTCTTGGGTCCCTTCCACAACGCTGCTTAGCACTTCTTTGCACAGACTGTATACAGCACAATGATGATCTCACTGTTACTTTTACAAGGGGTTTGCAAAGGCATTTGGTGCACAGAAAGCGGATTTTTATTCTTTGTGGTGTTTAAATAATTAGATGTTTTGTGCCCAGAGTACTGCTTTAAAAAAAAATACATTATTGTTAGTTATCTGGATTAGAAAGTAATATGTGTCTCTACTTTCACTTAAAGGGGATTGTGTAGTATGTTGTATACCGTGTGTTTTATGCTTAAAGAGTATGTAAACGCAGCATTTCATATTCTTGATGTGTGTCTGCTGTACCATGTACTTCTATGAAAAAGTATTCTGTTCCCTTTGTATTGCTTTGTCTGAAATCCGTGGTGTTCTTGCCTGTCCCTTTGCTTTCCTATTAAAAACTGATCACGCTATGCAGGAGAGCACAATGTGTTCAGTGTTCTGGCTGTGCTGGGAACTCTGTGTGCTCTCCCCCAATGATACTCCTGAGCCCTGCACTCTTTTACATGTTCCAGAGCGCTGCACACTGTGTTAAGTGCTCCTGAGCCCTGTGTGCTGTGCGATACAAACTCCTGTCTTCTGAACTGAGCATTATGTGATCCCAACTCCTGCTCCCTGTACATTGTATACTCTTGGCCTCTGTGCTCTTCATTTTATATTATACAGGGTATGCTCTTGATCAAAGTGTGCATGGG